AAAACAAACTACCAAGAACGAAGAAAATAAGCAACAACAAGCAAAGCTCAGACTTTCATGTTTTTAGAAGAATTTTGCATGGTGAAAGGAACCCTGTTAAAGACTACCCTTGTTTTCTTCATCCACAGAGATAAATTTTTGTGCAAGTCTCATGACATTCAAGCTGCTAGAATCCTTTCTTTCCACCACCCTAACTAGTCACTGAAACTGGAAGTGGGGGAGTGATCCTTTATGTCCTCTTCCGTAAGCCTGTCAGCCTTCCTGAAAATGTGGTGTGACGTGTGAAACCCTGCCCTCATCTCGAGGGCTTCACACTCCTCCCCTCATGTGTGTGTTCCACTTGCCTCAGCAAACTGAAGAACTGTTGCCCCTTGAAGGTCACCTCCCCCTGAGGGGAAGGAGCAGTGTGGAAGGAAACGTCAATGGTTCAGGTTTATTGTCAGTTATTACTCAAATTCAATTGTAATCCAAACCCAAATCTTAATCTCAGGCCAACAAATACCAAATATCTGTATCAGGCTACAAATACTAGAGAATAATATGCTTTTACATTTCAGGTAAAGAACTGCTTTGATGATAACTGCAAGGAAAAGGAAAACAACAGAAAATAAAATGTATAGAAAGTAAAATTTCAGAAGTGACAGAAGGAATCTACATGAGTTTGCTTCAAATATTGTTAGCGTCCTCTCCTATAGACAGGAAAGTTGTCTGAATGTAACTCAGAAAAGCACTGTTTTTTCTCCTGCATCATGCAATCCCCATATAACCAGCAGATGTTGACAGGAAAAAGGTTTGGGTTTTTGTTGGTTTTTTTTCCTTTCTCTCTCTCTCTTTGAACTGTCCAGATCTCCTCTTTGCCCAAACAGGAAACTTCACCAGGAAGTTGCAGCACCGTATACAGGAAAAAAGCCTGCACATGGTCTAAAAGCCCTTGCACATGGCACTCTCAAGCCACCAGCCTGATGGATCGGAGACTTGCTGTTATGGCGACTGCACACCTCTCAGCCTCCCGCTTACATCTTGTGAAGAAAAATTCTGGATTTGTGGTGAAAAGCCTGACATCCGTCTCCGTTAGAGCTAAGTCACAGCAAGCACCCAGCCAACACGGCGTAGCCCAGGCAAGCTTTGCTCTTCTCTCCATTCAGGCCTCTGATACAGCTAGCTTGACTACAGAAGTGGAATTACCAATCGCCTTGCATAAATGCATATCCCTAGTAAGTGCCTACCCCAACACAGGGACAGTGTCAAAATGGAGGAAGCACCAAGACTTCTCCTGCCCTGTGGAGTGGGCCAGCCAAAAGTGAGACCCCCACTCACTGCACAAAACCCAGAGAGTGCGTGCTGAAAGGCGGCGTTCGTGATTCATCCCGGTGACCACGAGGCAGCCAAACCACAATGGTTACTTACAGAAAGGGGTCAGGGGAGCAAACAGAAGGGAATTTTTTAGAAAATAAAGCCAAAGCAAGGGTTTTTTTGATAATGTGGATGTTGATACAACATAAAAGTAAACAACATCAAAACAAAGGCACAAAATTCTGTAACATGAAATACCTAATGGAGGGAACAGCTTGCACTTCTGGGAACATTTTTCCTTAAACCTCAAAATGGAAGCAAGACTTCAAATTCATCTCATTTGAAATTGCTCCCCTTTGCCTTAGCAATGAACTTCTGGTCTGCCTGTCTCTGGGATATCCAAATGATGTGACAGCTCTCCCAGCAACTAAGTTACTTCAATTCTCCGTATTAATCTTCAGACTCCTTCGATAACACGGTTGAGTTTGTAATTTGAGAAGTTCTTTCCTCTACTTCTGTTGTTGAAGTCAGAAAACATCCTGGAAGCAGTGTGGTTTAGAAATATTACTGGGCAAAACAGAGGGGAAACAAAATCCAAGAAGATTCTCAGATTAGTGACAGGCCCTTGGTACGAACCTAAAAAGATGAAAACTGAGAGTGGTATGCGTTTGCTTCACACTTCCAGACTACAAGCAATTAGAAAGTTATCTAGTTACATTAGTAATATTTCAAACATTCTGACTGACATTTTCCAAACCAAACACCAATTTCATTTTGATGATATGAAACAGAGTGACCATTCTCAGAACAAAGCTATCAAAAATAAATTTTGCCCTCAGTGAAAAAATATTCCCCAACTATTATCACAGCTATTTTACTAATTGTTTTATCATTCTTATGCTTTGGAATAAGGACTGGGAATTGGAAATCAAATTTAGGCTGTGCAGTTGAAGTATATTCCTAAATTATGGCATGTTCAGCATCTTTCAGAAATTTTAGCAAATACTCACAGGGTAAATGAAACAGTAGTTTGTCCTAAAGAAAGACTTCTAACTTGCCCAAGTTCTCGTAGATTTTCACCCTGATGACAAAAGACATATCCCAGAAATGGCTCAGCTTCTGCCAAGACTAATTGTCTTGAAGACACTCATAAGAATTTTTTAAATGTATTTTAGCATAGAGCAAGGTATTTTCCCACAGCCTTGTTCTCATAAAATGCTAACTAATTCTGACTCATTTTCTGAAAGAGAGAAGAATAATCAAAGAAAGGAATTCAGCCAGAGGCAGATGTTTAGCATGGAATATTTCAGCCTAGGGGTTAAAGTCTAACAACCTGGTGAGCCACCAAACACAAGGTTTTGTAATGACATATATGAAGCTGGCACAAAAAGAATATTAGCGTATTAGCAATGTTGCACATCCATTACTACAGAGAACACTAAATATTTTCATTTTATTAAAAACACAGACCTATTCAATATCAATTTCTGTTCCATATTTCAGAAGAATCAAGAGGAAGTCCTCATACCACATAAGAATGGTAAAGGCACCTCCTATGCATTAGTAAGTCAGGTCTAGGATAAACAACATGCAGAAGGCTTGATTGCTTTTAAGTAAGCATGTCTGTATAATTTGCAACATAGCAGTTCTGAAAAGAGTTGGCTAAAGACATTTCTGGTTCCCTGATGTTACTTTCTAGTGAATCTTCAAATACTGGGGAAATTCCAGAAGACTGAAAGGATGATGATACTGTGCTAGTATTCAGGAAGGGCAAACAAAGTGACCTACAATGACCGGAGACCAGCTAACTTGACATCAGATCTAGGCAAAGTGACTGGAAAAATAAGTAAGGAATTAAGGTCGGAAATATAACATGCCATTCAATGTGGGTGGCATTTTGAACACATCATATGCAAGTGGCCATGGGATGTAAGCCTTCTAAAGCTCCAGTGAGAATCTGCGAGACTAGTTCTAGCCAATGGTTTGGGTTTGACTTAAAACCGTACAACTTTCTTATGAAAAAGCATCCATTTTCACCATCAGTAATGTACCCTTTAAGTGGAATGCAAAAAAATACTTCAGAGAACTTTGTGAATTACAGTTAGAGCTTTTGATCAGTGTAGAATCATAACTGAGTAAGAGCAGTTCCAGCAGGATTTGAAAGTAAACACTCATGCCATTACATGGTTTCACCAATGACATAAAAAACAGTTACAAAAAATTGTGTGGATACCATGAATTCAAGAAAATTTGTGACTGGAAGAGGACAGGCTTGACACACACAATGATCTGAACTGCACGGTTAGCTGGGCATACTTAGACGGTGCAGACCTGGATATAGCACAAATACTTCCCTGTGATTAGGCAGAAGAAACATAAACGGTAGGTGGAGAGTGGGAAACTGGATCTCCGAAAACAACAGCTACAGAAGTTACGCAACCACATTGGACAATCAATTCAGTGTGAAGTCCCAGCATCACGCTGTGACCAAAGCCAAACCAGACTCAAACACTTATTGCAGGCCTTGAACATACAGGAGGCTGAGTAGTGAACTGGACCTGGCCAGTGGTTTTGATGAGACTAAAACTGGAAGAATACATACAGAGTAGCTGTCCTTGTTCTTAAAACCATGCTGAAAAGTTTCAGAGGGTGCAGTAAAAAGCCTTGCCAATCACTTGAAGACTGGAGAAAATGCTTTAGAGAGCCTTAAAGAGCTCAGTCTGTTTAGTTTATGAAAATTGTGAGGCAGCATGATTTTGCTATGCAAGTGCCAGAGAGGGAAAATGCCACATACTAAAGTGCTTTTTAATCTAATGGAGAAAGGCTTTACAAGAAACAAAAGAGGGGAACTGAAGCCAGACAAACTCAGATTTGGAAGACAACCCACTTTTAAAAATTTGGGAGTGCAATTAAGGACACACTCTCAAGGCAAGTGATATATTCCCTCTTTGACATGTTTTCAAATTAAGACCAGAGGACTTTCTGAAAAATAAATGGAAGTTAATGTGTGCTTAGAAACAAGTAGTCAGCTTAATACAGCAAAAACACTTGAAATTTTGTAGCTTACAGTCACACACAAGTTAATAAAAAAACCTAACCATTTCTTTACACTTAAACTCTATGAATCCATTATCTCTCAAGAAATACTACTGAAAGTTGGAGTTACCAGTCACTTATGACTAATTCACATAACTCCCACCCCTTCTTTTTAAGGGAAGTGCTCACTGTAGTTATGCTTCACACCCGTTTCACGGTTGTGTTCTATTTGTTCACATTTGCTGTCCTCCACAAATTCAGCACTTATGCATGAATACAGCTGACTTCAAAGAACAATGAAGGAGGAAAGAGGAAAAGGTGGTCATAAAGAAACCAGAACCAAAAGAAAACCCATGCACATCCATAAATTAAACACTGAATTGTCTTACAACCTCCTGGAAACACAATTTCCCCAGGTTATGCTGGAAATCAGGGAGTTGTGAAGAGTCTATTTAAAAGAAGTTCTTTACCCCTTACATTCACACACTTTGATGACTGAGACGTTATAAACTGTCATATTTAGCTGAAATGCAATATAAGCTCAGAAAACAATCAAGAGGGCATTAAACCCACGTCAGGCAACAAACACAGAGAATATAAACTTCAGTCGTATCCCTGTGTGGGCCATATATATACACATGTAAGTATATACTTTCACACAGCAGTACAACACTTCTTACCTGAGGGGATTTTAGCATCTGAAATACATCGATGCCTCCAAAAGCTAATGGCAGATCTCTCTCTGTTCTGCAGCCGACATAACCTCTCAGCGAGCCCGCCCCTGCAGAGAATAAAAGAACGCTCAATTTTGCCAATAATCAGTATTCAGTTTCACCCAGTGACAAGCCATAGGACAGATGGAATATGTATGCCAGGACCCTCAGAGACAGAAATAGACAGTAAAATTACATTCTGCAGATTAGTTCTCCTAATTTTGATTTTATAATGTATATACTTCCAATAAAACATACACTTAGGGTCAATACACACAATAAAACATTTCCACTAACTGGGTGTCTAAAACCTTCACATTTTCAGTCCTGTCGTCATCACAAGGATTGTTACAAAAGGTTCCCAGCTTTTCTTTGCACTGATGCACGTATCCTGACAGATACTACAGACAACTGTGAATTCAAAACAAACCACTGTAACCACCAGTTTTAACAGGTTAGGGGGTTTTTTTCCTCACAGATTTGTTTGTCTGTTGGCAAGGAGTGATCACAAAAATATTCTTTTACCCATACTTGACCCTATGATTCATTTCACAAGCTGGGTCAAGTGCGCAGTTTCAGTGGTCTGAACGCTCTCCAAGATGGAATTAGTTTAGCATTCCCAAGGTGAGGAGCAGAGGAGTGGCATCTAGGACAAATACATTTAAGGTAACACTAAAGCAATTCCAACCGCTGGATTCAAAGCCAGAAGACAGAACTCCTTACTTCAAGAACAAAAGGACAAACGCATTGGAAGCTGTCTTTGGGCTACTACAAAGAGCTTTGGACTACTTTAGGAGTATTTGAGCATTTTTCTTTGGTTTCAAATAAGTTATTCGCATAAAAACCTACTTCATTCTTTCCTTATAGTGTAAGTTCTTCCACAACAAGTACTGTCTATGTATCAGTAAAGATTTCTACTAAGGTGAAACGCATCCTCAGGTTAAACCTTTTTAGGAATCGACAGAGATAACATACAACCACTTTACTGGTGCACATGAATAGATTTCCTTTGTTTTAGGAAAAAAAACCACAAATAGTTTGGTAAAGCTCACATTGTAAATGTGAAACTGGGAGATCAGGTAGGCTGTAAAAATCTCTCTTTGGTTAGCAATTACTAAGCAATGTCACCTGCAAACAAGTCAACAGAAAAGTAGCTAGCAGTCTCAGCTGAATTTCTAATAAACAACTATATACTTTGCAAAATCATAACTATCACAAGAATTATTAGATGGTACGGCTAAACATCCGAGTAGTAAAGATCACAGAATGAATAGTCTGAAATACAAGGGCCGCATTTGAACCAGAACAATCCATAAAAGTTTTGTAGTTTACATTACTGCAATCTCTTCTACGGCTGGCATGGTTCAGGCAGGGAAGAGAGAAATTCAGACTCTAAATTACTGTCTTTCAGAGGAGGAAAAAATCCCCAGACCCTGAAAATGAAGAACCCACACTTAACAAGCTATAAAACCTGCTATATTGAGGAGGAAACCCAACAAAAATATGTAAGAAATCTTGGGCTCCAGTGAACTTCCAGGTAAGCTTAACGACCTTGTTTAATCCTGCTTTCAATGTGGACTTTAAGACACAGAGAAGTGCAGTGGAAGTTTTGGTACCAAGAGCAGCACAGTCAAGCTCAGAACTTCATACAGGATAACTTATTCTGCTGGTAACACTCTCCTCAGCCACATTTGTCCCAAAACTTGAGGACTCCAGCATTATGGCACTGCAGCACTTGTAAGCAACACAGTTCTAGAAACTCCAGCAAACTGCCCGCCCAGCTGCTCTTCTTGCCAGGGAATCGTTCTCAGGTGCAGCTGTAATTCAGCCCGGCTGCGTGGTCTACCCGAGCCATGCTGGAGCAGGTAGATGCCGGCTCAGCTAGGCTTAGAAAGGCAGCAGTTAAGCAAGCAAACTCAAAATGCATTGAAGTCTTGCGTGCATGAGTCTGCAGCTGCACTCCGTGGTTGGACTATAGCGGTAGACAATACAGCTAGTAGCTCAAAAACTTGTTTCGGTGAAAGAAAACTGTTCAGTGGGAGTGTTCTAAAACCCTACTTCATTCCCTCCACAGACAACAGTCAAAGAAACATATTTTCTTTGTTCGAATAATGTTAGAAAGCCTCAAGGTCCTGCACAAGAGAACAGCTATTACTGGCTCACGGTCTAACTTCCCCCCTTTCCCTGAGCAGGTTTATGGTTGTGTCCAGTCAATCAGCTCCTACTCTGTAAGCCCTCTACTGTTTCACCTACAGCAGAAACACCCTGCAGCATGCTGGCAAGCAAATTCCTGGTTTCGTGGCTATGGCATACAACAGTTAATACACCATTCCTGTTTTATGCCTTCCAGGGAGGGTCTCACTGACACAACTTCATTACTAATTTGCTAACTATGTCTGTATTAGGCCAACAGTTATCACAAAGGTCCGTGAAAAGCAGAACTGTGCCTTTCCTTAGCAGCCCTTTGTGCTAATAAAATTCATTGTTATTTATTAATCATCATCCTTCCATTCACATTCCAAATGCAGTTAAAAATAGTTTAAACAGAAAACATCGTAAAGCATTTTGCATCTGCTTAGTTGCAGAATATATAATTTAACCAAGAATGTATTTATGAGACGTTCTCAGGTGGTCACTGGAAATCTCTTTTTTATAATGTCCGTTTCATACATTGTGAAACTGGAAAATACAATTCAGGACATGCCATGCACAAAAGGAATTTCTATGTCAAGAGAGAGAGTTGGTAGTTTATGGTTTGTTTCTTCTAAAAGGCAGAAACAAAGAAATGCAAATATAAACACCACCCCAAATCTGGGAGGATAAACTCCCTTTTTAGCTCAAACATATAAAACAAACAAAGAAAAAGGTGCTTTCTGTTACATATTCTAACAGATTTGATGACAACGGCATCTGAAAACTACTAATTCCTTCTCATACAGTATGAATGCCACACTGTTGAAAACACGTGGGCATGTGCTGTGAGATACTCTGAACTACACAGTCTAAGTCACTCGTGGCTATGCAGGTGAGAGATAAGACAGAGTTACACAGAGCTTACACAAAGAGCAGAGCATGGTATTAAGCCGGTGCCAGCTTCAGTTTAAGAACCAATTCCATGTTTTGAAAAAAGCTAAATGGTTAAAATTACTATTGCTTTATTCCCAACTGCATATCTGTGGATTGTTAAATACCTAATAAGCTTTTATATTCAGTCTTTGGTAGTTAACTGGGTTTACTGGGACTAACAGGCATTTTTTTGGCATAGATCTTATCATATGGAAGTATTACCAAAATGAGCAAAAAGTTACAAGATAGAGATGAATAATATTCACTTTTCACTGTCCACACATCATCCCTCTGAAAGATCCCCCAGCTTTCCTGGCCTTTCAGGCTGCAGAAACTGTTCATCTTAATTCTGCCAGATGTGAGAGGTTTTGTTGGCATCAGGGGTGGAGACTGGATTCTACAGTACTAGATCTTGGTTAATCTGCAGTCTGTATTTATTTATGCACCTAGCCACTTCAAGACATTTAGAAAAAGATATTCAGTTCCCTCTCTTGCACAGACCTAAACCTTATGATCCATTTAATTGTCCACTGTGACTAACCCAACATCTGATGTGTGTGTGTATATACAATTGGCAAATATATTTTGATTACTAATGTACGATTTCTGTAATCAAGGGAACTGACAAACTGTATTTAAATAACAAAAACCGTAACCTGAGATGCATACTTTACTGACCAGCACTCCAAACTTGACCCGAAAATGTTTTAATATGAACAAATTCACTGCATTTGGCAAATTGTTAATGCAACGGCTGTTCAGTGAAGCCAAATTGCTCAGATACAATCTCCACTGTCCACAATATTTCTATTTTTAATCACAAAACTTTCAGTACAACTATTTTCTTCCTTTAAATCCCTGAAGGCAGACAGATTTAACAAGTAGAAATCCATATCCTATTTCTTTACTAAATCTCAGCTTGTTGAAATACCATATTTAGAACAATGCATTGCCATTACTGTCCACGTCCAACAACATCCACATGAAAGACAGCTCTGATGAACATAAGAAAGCCCAGCACCTAGTATAAAAGCTCTGTTTCTGGTGATTGCCCCTTTCCACAAACCAAACAGCAAGACGGAAGAGTTTTGTGCCCCCATGTGACAATTATCACCAAAAGGTAGCACTGAGCCTGGTCTCTGACTCTCAGGCTGCTGGCCCCTAGCTTCCAGCTCCAATGAGGCTAATTCATCTAAGTTCACTCCTTTCCAGACTCCATTTGAATTTAACAACAGTGAACACTTAAGCATCTCAATATTGAGTTGTCTTCTTCTGTACACTATGCTCAGGACCCCATGTATTTCAAAACACTGTAGGTTACATTAACACACATTCCTATCTCAGGACTGAGCAGCTGCCCTCCTTCTCTCTTTTTGAAGCAAGGACAGAACTCTTCTCATGTTTCCAAGTTAACTGCTGAACTAACTGACTTCTGCTCAACACTCCATTGTCCAATTGCACTCCATGGGGTGTTTGCTAAAGAGGAAAGAAAGGGACCCCTAAGCATGCTGGCATTTAATTTGTCAGCACTGCAACCCACCAGCTATTATCACCTAGTTTACAACTCGCAAAATAATCAGCAACATGGAATGCTGACAGTCAGTACCAAGTGCTCTTTTATAGTGTACAAATTAGCGTGGGTACGCTTGAAAGACATGATTGAAGAAAATGTTGGCCACACAAGTGCAGGTCTTCTCTATAGAGGCCCACCTCCTCTCGAGTGCAGGAGAGAAGCTGTTGACGTCATGAAGTAACAAGGGATCAGAAAGAGTAATTTTAGCTTTACAGATCAGCCTCACTCAAGCTCTGACTCAGTAACTAGATTTATAAACTTTCACCTTGGATGAACCACCACTAAGATGATTACTGGCATTATTCTGGTTGTTAAATGTGGGCTTCTTTTCTGTAATCAAAGCATAACACAGTCGCTTTTCCTATGCAATACAACAAGCAAATACCAAAGCAGACAGCAATAATTTTAAGTCCCTATAAAACTTGTGAA